TCTATCTAAATCTTGTCCTTGAACATTTAAAACTGCACCAAGTTTGTAACTGGTCATCATTTCACTTTTTGAATTTCAGAATGACCTTTAATACAGACACCTAAACCCTACCTGCAATGAGGACACTGTGGACGTTGTTCTGTTAGCCATTTCTAGAAATTGAMAAATTACAGATTGAAGTAAAGACTGGCTTAAGTATTATTAAGACCCATGACTGTTCTGACCTATGTAGGGACATGGCATAAAAAGTATTCATGACCTACATTTAGTCAGGCAATAACATGTGTACATCTCCATTAATGTCTATTATATGTTWACCTACCCGTATACACAGAAAACAGCAAAGTTTAGAACAGTGTGGGCAGAGACGTGCATCACGCAGCCTTTCCATACATATGAAACATCTGAACACCTCTGACAAACTCTGTGAATAAGAATAGCCAACAACAAGCCTTATGTATAAAATACTGTAGTAGTATTAATAGTATTGCAATAGAATGATTTTACATAAGCRTTTTTAACATGCGAATGGGTTTTTCAAGTATTTAACATGCAAATTAGTTKTCACCTGAGATGAGTTGTTACYTTGAAAACTTGAGTCGAAAGCTGGCAGCCCTCATAGCCTCCTCGCGAGAAGACGAAAGACAGCTACAGTAGTAGCGAAAGATGTCCAGGAGGCACACACAACCATATGCAAGAAAGTAATGATTGCAAAGCTGAAGACCGCGCATACCCAGCTAAGATTTTTGAAAACTTTCCGAACTTTGAAAAAATATTTCTCTGCATAGAGTTAAAAGAGTGACGCTTTTAAAATAGTCGGTTGGCATGACAGTTTATMTGTTAATCACTGATAGAACTTTTGCTGTAAGAAATTTAGCATTTAAGGAGAAATAATTTTTTGAGTGTGAGCATTTGGAAGCCGCACCAAAYGGGAGTTGCAAATCATTCCTAAATATATGATTGAACACTTCCRTACACTCGGAAGGAATTGARTCTTCGAAGTGCTCAAAAACACTCCAGAGACACTTTTATGCTAATATTACTAAACTAACATGTTTTATTTAATAATCATTCTGACTTTCGGAGATATTTCAGTGGTTTTAGAAGGCATTATATTTATTACTAACTTACTTTAATTGATACTAATTAAAATTCAAAATTGATAAACGGTCTAACGCATCATCCTTTGATAATACGTTTGGGCTACCCGTGGCTTAGGTGAYAACTAATTTGCATGTTAGAAAAACTCGAAAAACTCATTTCCATGTTAAAAACGCATGTGAAATCGTTCTAATAATACAATTATATGAGTACACAATCAATACTTCAGCAATAATAATAAAATTCTTGTACTTGAATTGGAATAAATACACAGGATTGCAATACTCCAATTACGTTACCAGACTCTTGCATGAACTAGTGGTGAMGGCAATTGTTGCATTTTAATTGCAGCGTTGGCATTGCAATTATTTGATATTTTGATAGTAACATGTACAACACACACAGTACAAACTTACTGTAATTTGATATACAYTGCAAGCTTAAGTATTCCTATTTTTTGTAAATTTTTAGGTACTTAAGTCAAATTTATTAAGGACAACTGAGAGTTATGTTAACTCTATCTTTGGGAATAGAAGTTAAGACCAATAGAAATAGGGAAAGTGGGGAGGTTAGTAGCTTGCACATGACAAAAGCAAGAGCTTAAATGCTTTTGGTCTACTGGTTCATACTGATAAAGTTTAACATAAGCAGAAGCACAAACATAAGGAATGGGAAATGTTTCTGCTATTGCTTGTCCACCAATATCACATGTAGAAAATTCCCAGTTCTTCTGCTTACATGTTTCTGTTGTAGTGAGAACCATCTTTACATTGAAAAACAATTAAATTGGCACTAGAATGTGTACTGTATAATATTTGACAATAATTGTACAGTAATCTTTCATTTAAAAACCTTACCAGTACATCACATAACCAAAACATTCACAAATAATGTATGAAAATACAGAGCAGTGTCATTACAATGCCATAGGAATTATAGCATGCATGTCTATCAATTCTTTTTTTTAAATTTAAGCTTACCTTAAATACACCTGATTTATTTTTTCTTTGTTTTAAGCTTAAGACTTATATCAAAAAAGAGTGTAAAATAATTTGAAACCCTACATATTTAAGTAACTCTAATATTCTATAGTCTATAAGTCTATATTCAAGACATTCTCAACTATTCTGAATTACTGTTTTTGCTGTTTCTTTTTAGACCTGAGTGTTCATTGTATTCTTTTTGAATTTATGCTTAAAGCATTTTGAACTTTACTAAAAAACAATCCATGAAAATATAGACCGAGAAAATTCAATTTCGAATCGAYTTATGAYTTCAAGGAAGGAAGCCARCTAGAAATCRCGTTGTTAACAGAAGTAGAACTTTATAAAATACATGACAAATGCATTCAATACGGCTTCTTTCTCAATTTCAGAACAGTGACAAAATTTGAATGTAGATAGATGAGAATCTCCAACAAAAACATGGCGGCCAAGAGAAGGATCCAAACATACTTGAATCTCACTCACTATTTCGCTTCAAAAACAAATTAAAATTAAAATTACAAGATAGTTACCTCCACTGAATTGTCCTCCATCCTAACAGACATGGAAACCCGCTTTTATGKTCGTTTTCTATCGATTTCCTCGACCATTTAGACGCCGAACTAAAATGACATTACAAATTTATAGCTTCAATCCAACGCTCGCACGGTCATCGAAGGTCACATGTCGCAAAAACTTTGTTCCTATTGGCTGTGGGCAAAAKGGAGCGAAATAATGTAAATTCAAATCTGTTTATGATTTTTACGCGGGAAAAAGACGAATTTACTGCTACATTGCACACAGAATATCGAACTGCTGTCTGTGAGCAAGCACGAGCAGAAAGACARAAAACGGAGGAAARCACTTTAATATTAAAGCAATTTTAAACAATAAGTTTCCTTTTTGATTTACGGAAGCATTTCAATTTATATAGGGGTCATATGGGGAATGTACGAACTATAAATTTATATTGAGAAGAAAAACGCAGAAAAAGTTGAATTTTAAGTAAATGATATTTGGGCGTAGACCTATATAAGTCTGCGTGAGCAGATATGTCTATTGTATGCTCAGTTGTGTTGTGTCTTTGGCGACGAACTGTTGTGGTGATTTCGGTATTCAAGTCATTCTAGTCATTCAATAAACATTTAGTTAGTAACCGTTGTTTTGAATATTTGAAAACMKCGCCTCTTCAAATAATTTGTTTGMAATAATAGAGGAAAAATTGGGATTTTATTACAAGATAAACCATCAGGGTCAMCAGTCAMCAACAGGGAGAAAACATTCAAGTGCTTGATGCTGGTGTCAATCAAATGACGTTATCCAATCAGAGATGCCTTAGCCAACTCTACCCGAATTTGAAGTAAACTGTTATTTTTTGGAAAGACGTCTTCTGGAAAAAAATGGTTCAAATCAAGTTATGGACATGAGCGAACAAGGCCTTCCGTTTTCCCATTTTCTTAGGCAAAGAGAGCAAGAGGTAAAGGGCATATGTTGATCCGTTGCTTAAAAAACAAATTGCATGATGTATGAACTTTCAGTATTATAAGACTTAAGAAGCTGAAGACTCCTCGTACGTCAGAAAAAAAGCGCTACATATCCTTTTAGTACTTTCTGTTTTTCTTGTTAGTTTTTGCAAGATACTGGTTGTGTACCAAGGAAATATAACCCAAAACCAATGGAGCAACCCTCTACATATAACATACCTACMAACCCTGGAAGTAACAAAGTTTACAAAACSGACTACAACAGAAGAGCACGAAATGTCATAAGCAGCAGGAAATACAGAAAAAAGCGGTGCGTACAAAAACAACAAAACACAGCAACAAAACAACAACAACAACAACAAAAAAAACAACACGCATTCATTCATGTCGATTTGTCCAAAACATTTATTTTATCAATAATGAATCATATATATTTTTTCAACAGCAAACTTCAGTACGCAGAACTTGAGCGTGACAACAAATTGTTGCAAAACTCTATCAACGAAGCAGAGAAAATCCATGCAGAGCTTAACCAAGCGTTCCGTATGCTTATACAACACGCGGAGCTTTGCAGTCACTGCTGCAATGTAACTCTATGCTTTGAGTAAAGAAGGTTATTARAAAGAGAACGTTTGGTTTCCTGCAGGTTCACAAGTGGAACCGCTTCGATTTGACAGTTGCAATCAAATTGCACCATGTTTTTATTTTTTMASTGGTACAAGCTAAATTTATGGTTGTCAATGAAATGTTCCTTGAATTTAAATGCGATATCAATTAAAGGAAATCAAATAATTAAAAAAGAAAAAAAAATAGACTGTTTATCTTATTGATAAAATACTGTCTGACGAGTGTGTAGCACGAAACTCGGAGTTACAGCGAAATCTTGCCTCTTTGATTATCACATATATATAACTAGCTCTACACTTTATGTGTATTGAGCACTCTTTAATGGGATCAGCCACTTCCTCATACGATGATTTATATGCTATGAAGCATAATTAAGTGATCCATCAAACTAAGCAGATACGATATTATTATTAACAGCGAGAAGTTATGGACCGAGTTTTTTTCCACTGTGACTGATGGCCAGAGCGCGTAGCGCGAGGGCCATAAAAAGTGGAAAAAAACGAGGTTATRWYWTCCYGTACGGCTCGAGCAAAGCGATGTTAATAAGATATTTATTATATAGCATTTTCAGGGGAAAATAGTAAAATTAATAGAGAATCGGACKTTTTTGTTCGTACTTTTCTTGTYATTCAAAATAGAAGGAAAAAAGAAAAGCCTGAGAAACCTTGATGGCAAAATTTGGATTCATTTTTGACTCTTTTTTGTACAGTACAACTASAAAAAGAGAGAAAGCGAGCCTTTTTAAGATAAAAAACGTTTTTTCTCGTTTAATCTGGTCCGTACAGGAAAGTATGKCCCGCTTTTTAGCCAATGAAATTGTGTGTTACATCMGAGCTATATAATAAATGTAKTTCAGTATACATATCCAATATCTGTACAAGGTTTAAATATGATTGTTTATCCCTGTCAATTACACATTTCCTGACCACATTGTGTTTCCCAAACTGAATAAGTACAAAATTGACAACTTTTTCACAGTTTATTGAAATCAATGTTATAATAGTACAGAAATTATAATTTTCCTGTCTTAAGTACAAATATAATATATTATCTTTCATATGCCCAGATATATTTATCATTTTGAATCATTTAAAAAAATATCGAAAAAATATATAATAATTTTGCTCATTAATGTACAATACTTTCTTTTTTGATTAGAACCAGTTTCGCACAAATCTGTTGTGGTTTGCTAAATTCAAATATTTGAAGCCTAAAATCTAAACTGAGACAGAAAAGGATCATAGAGGCTATTACCAGGGCTATTAACTACAGCTTTGCACTAGTAATCTCATATTGTCATGACAGAACCAATGATCCTTTTCTATCCTTTTCATGGATGGTAAAATCGCTTCAAACATTGCAAAACATAAGGTATATGGTGGTTCTTGATATAWTTCAACACCAAACAAGGTGGCTAAATTCAGTTTGGTTACTTATTAGAATGATGTTAGATAGTGCAGCCTTTGATAAAAAAAATTACAGGAATATATATTTGATTTTTGAGTATAATGTRTGAGCATGGATATGAAGAAAACCTATAACCTTACATAAAGGTGTTTGCATTATAAAACTGAACACACCCATGCATGTTCAATTATAACACTCTGAACATATAATAATTCATTACTCAATTATATTGCTTTCATTCTTGGTAACAATGGAAATTAATCTGGGGAAAAAATCACGGAATGATGCATACACCATTTTCGCAAAGATTTTGATAAGAAGATGATATTCTTAATATATTGTGGTTATACTACCTTTAAGAGATTCACACAGAATTTTGACATTTTGAAGTTCCAATAAGGTTGAAATATTTGATGCCATTTGTGATACCTATGAACTAAGGGTATAGCATACACTTCAATGCAACTTTCACCTCTTTGAATATACCTAAATTGTCTTTACTTTTTCAAATTCAGAGCAGATAACCACAGATGTACAATAGACTGCAGTAATCTCCTTTGAACTGGAAATAGTCATTCATCTAAATTATAAACTGTTAAATGAGTTGATGCACAATGTTTCTACGATGATGACGTAAAGCCTGCTGGAGCTGACTTTCTTCTTGAGGTAGTATCCTGAGCAACTCCAAGTTGATTAGAAGATTTACCTTTGGAGCTTTTCTTAGACTGTGTTGATCCTTTGGATTTAGTTGATTTGCCTTTTCTGGACTGTTTGGGGCTATTATCAGCTGATTTTGAAGTCCTYTCTGGAGTATTCTCACAAGAATTGTCACCATTCTTGTAGGAGTCATGCTTCTCACTAGTTACTTTACAAGTTACACTGGTTGAAGTCTTTGTAGTTTCAGTAGGAATTTGTACTTTAGCAATTATTGAATCATGATTTTCAACCTGCCTTTCCATTATGTGCACACAGGTACTACCCTCCTTTTTATTGTCCATGTTTGCATCTGTCTTAATGATGCCATTTGCCTTAATTTCGTCTTGATTAGTTAAAGCAATATTGTCACTTGGCATACTTGAAATGTGAGTATCAAGATAAACAATTACAACAGAAATATTGTCACTGGAACCTGCATCTTTTGCAGAATTGACAAGAAGCTTTGCAGCAGTATCTCTGGAATTCCCTTGAGCAATGTGATTTCTAACAAGCTCTATTGCTTGATCTCTGCCAACAGTATCCCATAAACCATCACACGCTAACACTATGAATTCTTCGTCACCTAAAAAAAGAAAATTTATGTAATTATAGGTAAAAATAAAAATATTTAGTTGATTTCAYACAGTCATGCACTACTAACATTGAATAATGTATTTAGAGACAGTTAGGTTGTAATGTGATTRAAATATGGGGAAATTCAAGTGCTTTTGTCAGGGAGGGGTTCAGATCATCTGAGGAGTTACACAAGATAGAGAAAAGCACTAAGGGTTTAAGATCTCAGTGCATGTACTCCGGCCCTGCACCTACTAAAGTGGACATGGCATTCAAGAACTAAACCAATAACACTCTCTAGAGAAAATACATTGTAATATATTCTTTGCTTTCACATGACATGAATCCTTGAGCCAGATATTTTGTCAAATTTTACATTTATTATTTCCTAACCTTCCAAAGTATATTCTGCTATGAAAGGATCACCAGAAATGTATGGCTTATGTTCAAMATCACCAATCGCTCTCGATACAGATAGACTACCATTAACTCTCCAAGCACCAAAATACACTACACAGCCACCAAGTGCCTCAATCCTCTCTCTTTCTTCCTGAAGAAAAAAAAAAATACTAACTTAAAGAAAATTTAGACAACTAATTTGAAAAAAAAAAAGATTTTTCATTAGAGAAAATGACAAAATAAGATTACTCAAGCAACATACTTTCTATATTCTTACTAATATGTTCCTTTTTAGAGATTAATCCAAAAATCATTTTAGCAATACACAGAATTGTTTGAATTTTATAGACTGCTGAGGAACATGAATGTAATGTGAGCTTGCTATTTAGGGCCATTATTTACTCTAACAGAAGTTTACTATGTTACTTGTACTGTATGTTAAAGAGGATCAGGGGACTGTTTGACTGTATACAAAGGTCTCTGAGATACTAATTAATTGTGTTCTACTTTGCTGTTAGCCTCAAAAAAGTATTTGATATATTGGACATTAATATTTCATTGAAAGCCCATTGAAAAGCACTAAATTTGTGTAAAAAGACAACTAGGGATCTTTGCTCACAATTGAAGAACATAATTTCAACCTGAGTACTAACTGACACAATGAAGCACCTTATTTTCTGGTTTATGTGGTTCCATCAATGACACAGCTGCTCCAGCTTTACAAAGAACAACCTGTGAGTCTCCTAACCATCCTATGTACATTTTATCACTTGATATTAGAGAAACAACAGCTGTACAGCCACTTCTTAATCCCTGTGTAAAAAAATAAATTTTGCAGAAAGTTATGAATATCTGTAGTGCACTGGAAGTGAAATATTTGACATTGTAATACAGTTGCATTTGTATAAATGAGAAAGACATTTTATGTATAGAAGGTCACAACTTTAGACTAGTCAAATTTAATTATGTTAACAGATGTTTATGAAGCTAAAGGATGCTATGACCAGTCGMATTTGTGAGCTTTTACAGATCATTTTGTATTGCCTTGTTGCACATCAGGATATGATGTACTTTACCTCAGCTTTTGCTTTCACTCCAAACGTCTCGTCAGTGATAAGGAATGCCTCATGAAGAGCGAGTCCAGGATCTACAGAAAGGTTTTTATTGTTGGCCAAGAAACAGTGTAAATGTGTAGATGAGTAGATAGCTGCATCAGTACCACCATGTCCATCATACACAGCAAAGAAAGCTAAATCAGGATATCCCTAAAAGATCATCAAATAATTCTGACTGTCAGATAATCATATGATCAATGATACAAAATGGTCTTCTTGGGGGTTCCCTGGCCATCTTTAAAGGTAGCCATGACTTTGCATTGAAGCGAAACAACCGTTGAGCATGCAATGATAGACAATAATTTGCAGGTATCTATCACTGCATGCTCAACGGTTGTCTCCCTTCGAAACAGTGCAAGTAAATGCTAATATATTTTTTTACTGCTAACAATGGAGAGAAAGTTGAAAATTGAACTGCAGCTATACTATACGAGATGCATYTAGGACCTAATAACTAGCCAAGCTTTACCTTATTCAAACCAAATAAGCTATTAAAATGAGGCAATATGACATGTTTGTCCTCCATCTTTCTTCTAGTATTTTTAATGGCATGTACACAAGACACATAGGATCGCTTCAACTTTGACAGCTTAGGGGTCTCCTGACTCCAYTCAGTGCAGAGTGTTTGGATATTGCTGAATACATCTCTTGCTGCTTTTGACATGTCTAATTCTAAAAAAAGGAAAAGAACAGAATAAGGCTATGSCYTTTGAACAGTATGGTTTTAGTGGGAGTCTTAGATTAAAATACATGTAATTCACTAAACACATGTATATATTCACAAAGATCAATATCCATTTGTCTTTAAAGAAAAGCTCACATGAACTTCCACCTTTGCAAATATTGTTTATTGGCCAGTGCTTACCTTCACTGTCTTCAGCTTTGTAGCAAGAAAGRTCACTATCTATTATTTCCTTGGTTGCTTTATGAGTAATAATGGCTGCAAGAACATCTGGACAGTTGCTAACAATAGAAACAATGGATCTCAGAAGAATTTATCAAAAAATAATACAAATGAAGTCTTATGTATGCATATTAAGTTATATATATCACAACAAAGACTATTCAAAGTTTCAATACCTTACTAGCTGTATGGCTTACAAGAAATGTTAGGAATAAGTCCATAATGCAAGTTATTGATTAAGGAAGAATTGGGCCAGAAGACCTTTTAGAGCAAATCATCTGGAATCAAATTGTGAAATAAAAACTTCCTTTGATAACAAATGCCTGGGGATATTACTTCCCGTTTATATATATACAGACAGCTACAATAAGCACGTACGCCTCGCTACTATATTTAGCTAATGAATACTGTGATCAAGAAACTGACATTTTTTGTAGTTTGTACAGAAAAGCATGCAGTTACCTGTACATGTATTGGAATGTTTTAGAAATACTAGAATCTGAATGCCTTACAAGTCACGCAGTTAATGTAAGTAGCAAAAGTGCACCTGCAGGCTATTATTCCACAGACTGTAAAATGTAAAAGAAATTTGACAGGCCATTTTTTTGCACAAATGCAATTATTAAATAGAGTAAAAAGGCAAAATAAAATGATGTCTTGTGTGTGAAAATGACTATTTTTACGGTCAATAACAATGAAATGAAAAAAAGTTTCACTTTACAATGCATGCAGCCGGTTTCACTGGAAAAAATAACAAAAAACCAAACAAGATTTTCCTTGGTTTTGTCTTGGATTTTCATTGGATTTTAAATGAGTTCCAAATTTGGATAAAATGCAATTTTTCCAAACCTGGATTTCTAAAAAAAACCAATGTGCTATTTTGGAAATTCCAGGTTTGGAATCTAGAAAAAATCCCTGTAAAAAATGAAATCCAAAACTGGTGTTTAAGGAAAATCCTTTATTGGATAAGTGTTTTCCATATTTGGTTATCTTTACAATCCAAATTTGGGTTTCTTTTTTTCCGTACTTGGTATTTAGAATTCCAATTTTGGATGTTCAGTTTCCAATCATGGGTATTTAAAAATTCCTTATTTGGATGTTCAGTTTCCAATCATGGGTATTTAAAAATTCCTTATTTGGATATTCAGTTTCCAGTCATGGGTATTTAAAAATTCCTTATTTGGATGTTCAGTTTCCAGTCATGGGTATTTAGAAATTCCTTATTTGGATTTTCAGTTTCCAACCATGGGTATTTAGAAATTCCTTATTTGGATTTTCAGTTTCCAACCATGGGTATTTAGAAATTCCTTGGATGTTCACTTTCCAATCATGGGTATTTAGAAATTCCTTATTTGGATTTTCAGATTTTCAATCATTAGGTATTGTAACACTTATGATGAAAAACAATATTAATATCATTGCATTTACTTTAATAATCTTCAAATACATGAATATTATTGGTGTTAATATTAACAATACAATAATGCTATTCTTCAGCTTTTACATATCAAACAAATAAAATACACATTTTGTAGCCTAAAGTATTTTAACATCGCTTATTGCAACCTTAAACAATGAGGTGTCTGAAATAGAAACCTTGTTTTTCTTTAAGAGAGTGGCAGCAATAGCATCGATATGTGTTATCTTATCTTTGTTTCTTAAAAGATGGAGCCCTAGCATCCTAGCTTCTTTCCTGAGAGACTCCAGCTTTAAATCGGTTATAGTTTCTAATTTAACCATTTCAGAACAATTGCTTGTGCAGACATTGCAGACAACTCTGAAAAAATGAATGAAAAGTATAAATAAAATTTTATTACAATCTCATTAATAAAGAGAAAAAATTAATCACTATAACTCCACTACAACTGTATTTAGCTTCCTGCACAGAATATTGATAAATTCCATGCACTCATTGTGCATGCCTACAGTCTAAGAGAACAAAAAGATTAAAACACTGCTCAAAACTCATTATCACACAGTATGTTAGAGTGCACACCACAAAAGCGTGAAATATTTCTTAATAATCAACAACTAATAAGATTTATATATCAATTAAGAATTCACTGGGGCATGAAGACAATGCCAGAAAAGGAAATTTTATTTGTTTATATGCCTTATTGAATTCCTAATTAGTTGATAACTAAATCTTATCTGGCGCTAATTATAGTTAAGAATTGTACACGCTTATGTGGCATGCACTCTATTAACTTACCTTTGTTAAAGTATGATCCATAGTCAACATTCCGTTTAAGTTTTCTTTATGGAATAATTTTCTTTTTTTAACTGGCAGTGATGTATCATCCCCTGTAATAAACATAGAAATGTTCAACATTTGGACAACAATTCATCTATGAACAATATAACAGACAATATAAAAGTATTTTTCTAGAGCTCACTCCCTACAATTGCCCAGCTATACATATGGTTGATTGGCTGTTTACCCTTTTTTAATACCAGTAAAAATAATGTTTAGAAGAGAGTTAACTTTTTTGTACCTTTCAACTCCATTATTTTTGAGGCAAAGTTGGACTTTTTGCCAATGGTATTCACACCAAGAATGTTGAATTCTTGCTCTTTTAGGCCTAGTAGTGTTCTTCCATCTACTTCTTCTCTTACAAAGTTTTCTGAAATAGCTGGGGAATCATGAAAGATTTCTTTCACCCAATCTTTGACTTCATTAATAGTCCACTCTGCAATCAAAAATAAACAGAATGTTAAACTGGGGAATTTTTAAAGATACAGCATAATGGGAGAATTA